ATTCATGTACGTGTACGTCCTTCTGTCGCTCCTGAGGGGGGCGGTCGGGCGGGAGGGTAACGGTGACAGCGGCCGCAGAAAGCACCCGCCAGGGTGCGGCCGCGCCACCGGCGCATCAATCGCCTGTGCACCACAGCATTGAAGGAGGGGGGGGAGGGGGGGGGTTCAGGCCACCCCCCCTTCAAGTACGATTGTCAGCGTTACCCGGGGGCGGGCGGGGTGAGGGAGGGGGCAGCGAGCTTGACCCTGGGGGGGAAGAGGAAACACACGCTCACCATGGGGGTGCGATAGCCCTGGCCTTCCAGAGTGTTAGAAAATAGCCCTCCAGGCCTATAGACCGACCTGGCCTGCTGAAACCTCGACCAGAATTTAGACGCCAAGGTTGGGGTGATATTGTTAGCCCTCCTGGAAGGTCAGGGAGAGAGGGGTGAAGGGAGAGGGGGGTGAAGGGAGAGGGTGTCTGGTGCTAGTGTTAACCCTCCGGGAAGGTCAGGGAGAGAGGGGGTGAAGAAAGGTACACCTTTCGTGCACCGTCATGGCCCCAGGTGGCCTTTGAGGGCTTCGTCCCTGCACCCCTCGATTCTCCCCCCATTCAGTGCCCCACCTTGACGGAACGCCAGACCCTCCGTGCCCCTCCCCTTGCTCTGGCCTCGCCGTTCTCCCTCCGCCTGTCTTCCGCCCCTCCCCTTCCCCCTCCCCCTCCCCCTCCCACTTGTTTTACCCCGAGTCTTCTCTGACGGCCCCAGGGCCTAGGAAGGCCTTCCTTGACGCCGAAAATTCTCAGAAACGTTCTGGCGTGAATTGTTCACGAGGCGAGGATGTCGGGGCATCCCTCCCCTCCCCCCCCTCCCACTTGCGCCGCCCTCATCCCCGCCCTTTCTCGCCGACCACCCTCCTTCCTCTGCCTCCTGCTCGCGTCAGGTCGCCTCAGCCCCCAAGCTCCGCTGGATGCGGCCTCGTCTGGGTATTTCCCCCTCCCTCCCTCGGGAAAATAAGAAGGTGAGTAAGTATCCTCCCGCGGTGGGCAGCGCGCATGGCGCCGATGAAACTGCGCTGGCCACGGAGGACACTCGGCAATCAGCGGCGCGAGCTTTTAGGTTCCACGGTGCTTCCCGCACGACTGCCAACAATACATCGGCACGGCCACCGCCAGCAATGGCTGCTTGTTCCACCACGCGCTGGATACTGTAAATATGCCCCGGTCCTTTGCCGTCCACCCTCCCCTGCTGCTCTTGCTGCTGCTCCCTCCGACCCTCCTCTTCAGACCGGCCACCGCCAGGAATGACTGTTTGTTCGACCACGGCGCTGGATACCGTAGACCACCCCCTGCCCTTTGCCGCCCACGCTCTCCTGCTGCTTTTGCGGCAACTCCCTCCGACTTCCTCCTCCGACCCTCCGCCCCCCCTCTCCTCTGCTGCTCTCTGACTTCTTCCCCAGCCACACGGCGACCTCCTGGCCCACTTCCCCGTCCCCCCCCTCCTTCTCCGCCCTGTCCTGCTCCCCGCCGGCATACTGCCCCAATGGACACATCCACGCCTCGTCGGGGATCCTCTGACCCGGGTCAATCCAGACCCGGGTCAGTCAGGCCTTGCAGGATCCTGCAAGATCCTGCACCCAGACCCGGCTCAATGCGAAGGATCCTGCAAGATCCTGCGCCCAAACCCGGGTCAGTGCGACCCTGGCCCTGCAGGATCCTGCAAGATCCGCCGCTCTGGCTGACCTCCCTTTGCATTGACCCCCGTCTCAAGGCTCTCGACCTCGGCGGTGTCGTGCTCTGCCGGCGCCTCTGCCCCTCGGCCAGCTGCCTCCCGCCCCTCCCTGGGGGAACGAAGCATGACATCAGCATAAAAACTCGGTCCGCGCGGATTTCTCGGATTGGCGCTGGACCCCCCTCCCTGGCGCGCGGAGCGCGCCAGGGGCGGCGCCGGAGGCGCCGCCAGGGAGCCCCAGCCCCGGTCTGAGAAATCCGCGCGGACCTCCGAATTGTTGTGTTCATGTCATTCTTCGTTTCCCTGCTCCCCCCCGAGCACCGCACGCCGACGTGGTCAACCAGGTACCGGAGCACCGTCAGGGCAACCTCCTGGACCCCCTCCTCGCTGGGGGCCATGTCGCGCAGGAGGCCATAGCCTGGTCGGCGTCTCTCGGAGACGGCTCGCGGATCCCCAGCCCGTTGGACCATCATGGCGTGTCTGTGCGCGTGGGGCATCACTTCTCGACGTCGGCGCTGTTGGCACGGGCGAGCCCGGACAAAAACGCGAAGGTCTGGGGCCACAGATCTGGCACAAAATCGGGGCCTTCCCTCGAGACGCCGACTGCAACACTTCGACCTGACATCAAGCGGCCGCAGTTCTGCCCGCGCCGGTGGGACGCATGCGTGAAGGATGACGTGTGCTGCTCAGCCTGGAAGACGCAGCTGCTGCGAACAAAGTGCGGGCGACGGTCGGGGCACGTGAGCCCGTCTTGCGCAGGATCGGGCACCTCCTCTGGCTCTCAACGCGTGCCTCTCCTGGCCGGCACCAACCTGCTGACCAACCCTCGGGAACCTGTCGACGGACCCGGGCGCCCGAAACAGGCCCGCGGAGGGCCGAACCGCGACAAACTGCTAACGTTGGAGGAGGAGGAGGACGAGGACGAGGAGGAGGAGGAGGAGGAGCAGGAGGGGGGAGGAGGAGGAGGAGGAGGAGGAGGAGGAGGAGGAGGAGGAGGAGGAGGAGGAGGAAGAGGAGGAGCAGGAGGGGGAGGAGGGAGGAGGAGAGGAGGAGGAGGAGGAGGAGGAGGAGGAGGAGGAGGAGGAAGAGGAGGAGCAGGAGGGGGAGGAGGAGGAGAAGGCGGAGGGAGGAGGAGGAGGAGGAGGAGGAGCAGGAGGGGGGAGGAGGAGGAGGAGGAGGAGGAGGAGGAGGCGCCGGAAGCAGCCCCTCGGGCCGGCAATGCCGCCCGGTCTGTTCTCTCTGGGCAGCCGTCCGTGCACCGTGCGTGTGGGGGCCGCGGAACGCTGGCTTCTGCTCCTCTCTGCTGCTGCCCGCTGTCAGCACCGCTCGTGCTCGTCGTCGTTCTCGTTTTCTGTTGTGTGTGTTTCCTCGATCCCCTCCTCGAAATCAGTTTCCTCGCCGTCCGCGTCCATCTCCTAATCCTCCTCCACCTCCTCGTTTTTGTTGCCATCCACGGCGCCTCAAACGATGCTGCAGACTGGAGGCTGAGACTGCAGCGGCAGAATACCTCCACCTCCTCCTCATCCTCCTCCTCCTCCTCCTCCTCCTCCTCCTCCTCCTCCTAAGCATCATCATCATCATCATCATCATCATCATCATCATCATCATCATCATCATCATCATCATCATCATCATCATCATCATCGTCATCGTCATCGTCATCGTCAATCATCGTCGTGATCATCATCATCATCATCATCATATCAGCAGCAGCAGCATCATCAGCATCAGCATCAGCAGCATCAGATCACCATCACCATCACCATCATCACCATCACCATCACATCACCATCACCATCATCATCATCATCATCATCATCATCATCATCATCATCATCATCATCATCATCATCATCATCATCATCATCATCATCATCTTCGTCATCATCATCATCATCATCATCATCATCATCACCATCACCATCACCATCGACAGCATCAGCATCAGCATCATATCATCATCATCATCATCCTCCTCCTCCTCCTCCTCATCATCATCATCATCATCATCATCCTCATCCTCATCCTCATCCTCTTCATCATCATCATCATCACCATCATCATCATCATCATCATCATCCACCTCATCATCATCATCATCATCATCATCATCATCATCATCATCATCAACAACAACCTCGGCGGTCTTCCTTTTGTCCCCCGTTGCATAGGACGGCAACTCGACCGAGTGAGAGGCAGTGAAGCAAATGCTGGGGCCCCTGACCAGGAGGAGGGAGGAGGAGGAGGAGGAGGAGGAGGAGGAGGAGGAGGAGGAGGAGGAGGAGGAGGAGGAGGAGGAGGAGGAGGAGGAGGAGGGAGGAGGAGGAGGAGGAGGAGGGGGGGGAGGAGGAGGAGGAGGAGGAGGAGGAGGAGGAGGAGGAGGGAGGAGGAGGAGGAGGAGGAGAGGAGGAGGGAGGAGGAGGAGGAGGAGGAGGAGGAGGAGGAGGAGGAGGAGGGAGAAGGAGGAGGAGGAGGAAGGGGAGGAGGAGGAGGAAATGCAAGCGTGACGTCTCCTGGATATTCGACGCCCAGCACGTTCACCATGAACTGGTCGCAAAGGTGCTTCAAGAGCGAGTGCGTCATACCCAAATCCTAGGATAATGCAGCGTTTCCGTTCCCTTTCCGCCGATCACGCCCATCTCTCTCCACCGCCCCTGTATCATTCATCCCCTCGCCTCCCCCAAGTGACCCTCCTCTTCCTCCTCCTCCCCTTCCTGTCCATACTCCCCATCCTCGTCCTCCTCTGCGCCCCCCAGGCTCAGCCTTCCTCTGTTTGTTTCCCCTTTTCCTCCCCTTCCTCTTCACCCTGCTCTTTTTCTCTTCCCCCTCTCGTCATCCTCGTGCTCGTCCTGCTCGCCTTCCTCCTATCTGCCTCCTCCCGCTGACCCTACCGAGCTGCCCTCATCCCAACCTCAATACTTGGCATGAAGGATACAATCAACCCGTATCATAAGGATGCGCGGTGAGGATGCAAGCAAGGGCCTTGGAAGGCCATGTCGACAATGTGCGAGCGGGAAGCGACCAGCGAAAGCGGCTAGGAATGGGCCGAAGGGGAAGGATGCAAGGGTAACCTTGGGCAGTCGCTCACCCCTTACTATGCACGTTGACTGTAGGGGGTCTGGTGGCAACTGGTCCTGCACCCCAGGAGCATTCCCTGGGGACCAATGTTTCGCCCTCGCTCGCTGCTTTGACAGCCCTGGGACCCAGCAAACTGCCTTGACAAAGCTCGAGAAATGTGAAGATCTCCAAGACCCCTCTCCTCCAGAACCCGGTTCACATGGCGATCCCGGTCTGGGGGTCGCACGTCGACCCCTGGACCTTTCACAGGGGTGAGCTTTGACCAGGATTTCGACGAGAATCCAACCGTGGCCACGCGGGAGTCCCTGGAGGCCCAGAGATGATGAACCGCGCAATAGGAAAAAACGCAGACGTGTCCAACCCTTTCGTCATGCGATGCGACTACGCTCGACCAGGATAGCAAGGATGCGCGGTGAAGATGCAAGGGCCTTGGAACGCCATGTTGACGTTTTCCGTGCGGAGCACAGCAGAGTGCCGAAGGACGCCGAATACCGAAGGGGCAAGGATGCAAGGGTAGCCTTGGAAAGTTGCCCAATGCTTACTATATCTGAAAATATATGAAAAAGGCGCTGTTCAGACTCTGGGGCGCCCCCAGACTCTGGGGGTTGCTCCAACTGCATCTCGTCGGCATCAACCATCCTTCATCCTTGATCCTCCCCCTTCATCGACCTGGTCCTCCTCCCTGTTTCTCTGCCGGCTCCCTCTCCGCGCGATTTTCCCCCTCCTCCTCCTCCTCCTCCTCCTCCTCTTCCTCTTGCCCCCGTGCCATTATTATTCCTCTTCCTTCATAATCATGATAAGCATGGTTGACTGTAACCAAATGAGTACCCTGTACACGAGACCAAACCGGGTGGCGGCAGCTGCGCAGGACGCAGCCCCGCGGGAAACGGCCGAGGCCTCGGCGTGCGGAGCGCGTGCGACGGGTGTGCCTCCACGGGCGCGGCGGCCACACACAATCCCGCCCACGAGGGCCACAGCTGGGCTCTCGATACAGTCAACCCGTATGGTAAAGATGCGCGGCAAGGACGCAAAGGGCCTTCAAAAACGATGTTGACGCTTTTCGGACGAGGATGGCCAGCGAACGTCGCTAAGGATGGGCCGAAGGGGCAAGGATGCAAGGGTACCCTCGGGAAAGTTGCCCATCCTTAATATGCGGGTTGACTGTAGCTCGCGAGCTGTGCGAGGGGTGCGCCACTGGGGGGAGGGCGTCGGCAACGTGCGAAGCAACCACCACCAGAGCTGCGGCTGGGGCTCCCCATGACGCACGAGACATGCAGGAGGTGCTCGGCAACGCGCGCGATGGCCACGGGAAAATCGACCACTGGGGCTGTGGTCAGGGCTCCCTAGGGGGCACGAGACGTCAGAGGGGTGCGCCAAAACAGGCCTGGTGGCCACCCGCGACACCGCTAGTGGGGGCCGCAGTTTGAGGTGTGCATGTATGTATGTGCGTGTGTGTGTGTGTGCGCGCGCCAAAAACGTCGTAGCTGTAGCGGCAGTGCAGGAAACATCAGCATCAACATCTACAGAAGGAGCGCGGCAGGAAAGGGGGGATGGGGCGGGCGGACGAGGAGGAGAACGAGGAGGAAGGAAGGAATCCATAACAATCGCGCACAGGGAAACTGGCACGAAACACAACTTCGAAAGAATTACAATTCCTTCGGGGCATGGGCCCCAAACAATTTACATGTCGCCGCGCTGTTTGTTCTCGATGCGCCCAAATGGACGACACCGACACCACGGCAAACTCACGGCAAACCCTGCGCCCCGCGCCCCAGGTAGCAGAAGCCGGCACCGCGGCCAACCCCAAAAAAAACCCACCGTGCCCGAGGCGACATTTGCCCTTATGCCCGCGGCGCCCTCCTCAAGACGCAAGGCCGCGCGTCGGAGCAAATGTTGCGGCGACACATGAAGGCACGCGACTGAGCTTGAGGCAGTCGGGGGCAACGCGGACGGCAGCCTGCGCCAGCGGAGGAGAACACCACGGCAGGGTACAGACTGATGGGCCTGTTTTCCACCACCACGACCATAAGTTGGAGGGGGGAAGGAGGTGGAGCATGAGGAGGAGGAGGAGGTGGAGGAGGAGGAGGAGGAAGAGGAAGAGGTGGAGGAAGAGGAGGAGGTGGAGGATGAGGAGGTGGTGGCGGTAGAAAATAAGCCCACCACAGATCGGGTAAGACGGAGCCGGGGCGGGCCAAAGAAGCTGGCGCCGCGGAAGTTGGGCCCGGGGCTGGCCCTGGGCAGACCACACGGGCGGCAACCTGCAAAGGCCGCGCCGGGGACAGCCCGGGACGGCTATAGGGCCGAGGTGCAGCGACCGTGGCGAAGCCCCATGCTCGTGCCGCCTCGGGGTGCAAGGTCCAGGTGGCGACATCCGAGTCCTCCCCCCGCCGACCATCGATTCTCCTGAGTAGATGGTCGGCGGGGGCAGGGTTCCGATCTCGACACGTGCTCGACGAATTCCGAACCCTACCCCCGCCGCCCATCGAGTTGCAAGAGTCGTCGATCAGCGAGGGTAGGGTTCAGATTAGTCGAGGCCCACTACTCGCAAAGTAGCTACTCGCAAATGGCTTGGATCCATTGCATCGAGACAAGCTGGCTCCATTGCATCGAAGCAAACATTGTGTGTGTGCGTGTGTTTCTACGTTTGCGAGTCGGTATTGTGCGAGTAGTGGAACGCGCTTGGTGGAAGGGTTCGAAATTCGAGACATGCTCGACGAGCTCGAATTCCGAACCCTACCCCCGCCGACCATCGAGTTGCCCGAATAGTTGATCAGCGAGGGTAAGGTTCGGATTGTTAGACAAACGCTTTCCACTACTCGCAGAGTAGCTACTCGCAAATGGCCTGGATCCATCGCATCGCATCGGGGCAAATCGGTTCCATTACATCGGGGCAAACTTGTGTGTTGCTCGACGTTTGCGAATAGGCATTCTGCGAGTGGTGGAACGCGCTCGGTGAAAGGTGAGCGAGAACAAGAGGTATCGTGTTGGGAGGAAGGGGTTGGGAACATACAGGGTCTAGTACGTATGATGAGCGCCTGCAACATTCGCGGCAAGATTGATGATGCACTCGAAATCCCTAATTGATCGTCCGTCCCCCAAGTCCGGTTTTTTAAGGCTCATTGTTTGTAACCGGGGGGTCCGGTTTATTAGGGCACTTTCTTTGGATTGGAATTTAGGGGGTCCGGTTTATCAAGGCGCCCCGTCGAAGAGGGGGGTCCAGAATATTAGGTCGCATTTGAGGGGGGCTGTTTTTTGTGGGGCAGTCGATTAGTCAGGCATTTGGAATAACCATTTCTCCCAGCCCCATCCTCCCAATTCGAAAGTTGTCTCTTGCGTTTACTAAATGATGTTTTGTCTTGTTCTTATAAAGCGGCGTTTTAGTAATTCTTGTTCGCTTTAATAACTCATCGTTGCAGATCAACTCTTTGTTTCAAGACCGCGCGTTCGTTCATTGCCATGACCTGTGTTGGCCGGTGAGTCTTCCCAGTTCGAAAGCTGTCCCTGAAAGGTCCTCGGCGTTCGCGTGGAAGAAGAGCAGCACCGTGGCCGCGCTCGGGGCCGGGAACCACAAGCACGGGATGCCGTTGCCGTCCCGCTCCTCGGCCGCTCGGCCGCCCCTTCGACGGCCTCTCTCCCTCTCTCGGGAGGAGGAGGGGGAGGGGAAGGAGGAGGAGGAGGAGGAGGAGGAGGAGGAGGAGGAGGAGGAGGAGGAGGAGGAGGAGGAGGAGGAGGGGGGGGGGGGGGGGGCCGGCTTTCGGAGGGGGGGGGGGATGGGGTTGGGGAAGGGGGGTGTTCTCGCCTGGGTGGGGTGGAGCTTCCCTCCTGTATCACATGACTTCTGCTCTCTTTTCGCCCGCACCCCCCTCGCCAAGGCGCTCTCCCCTTCTCTACCATTTCGCGCCTCTCCAGGATCCCTTTCACCCCCCTTCTCTCCGCATGCCCCTCTTTTGTTGTCTTATACATATATATATATATATATATATTCTCTGTTGGTTTCTCGCTTTTCTTTTCTTTTTGTGTTCTCTCTCTCTCTCTCTTTCTTTCTCTTGCCCTCCCTTTCTCTCTCTCTCTCACACTTTCTCGCGTCTCTCCTTCGACCCCTCCCTCTCCCTGCCACGATCGGATTATCGAGAAACGCCCTCCCGACCTCCCCATGAAAACATTCTGCGACCGCGTGGCTGGCGCTCCCAACACACAAGCGCCGTAGGAGACCGCCGCCGGAACAAACCGCCCAGCGGGCCCCCCAAAAAATGGCGCTGCTCGACGCGCTCGCTCGTCCCGGAGAGGCGACCGCCTACTGCATCGTATACATTACGGACGCGTGCGGTTTTCTCCACTGCGGATGGCGGGGTGTTCCGACACGGCCTTGCCTCCTCCCCCGCCTCTCCCCCCCCGTTCTCCCCCCCCTCCGTTTCGGAGATCTTTCGAAGCCCAGCATACGCCCCACAGCCGCACGAGAACTTCCAAAAACCTGGGTCATCGATTCTCCCTTTACGGCAGGTTCGTGTCGTCACGAACCCTGCGTTGATTCCTAAAACCGCGTGGATCGTTCAACCATGAACGATCGGCGGCATTTCGATCGCCATACCGTTTCATATTGGCCGATGCTGGGCGACTGGCACCGTTCGACCTTGAGCGCTCGCGGCAGGGCCACCGCCGCGTCGACACGGCGCGAACCTGCCGTACTGGAATTGTAATGTTTCCCCCCTTCCCCCCCCCCTGGAGGGGCAACGATAGGGGGGACCGGCTCAAAGGGGGAAAACATTGGCTTATGTTGCCCCCACCGTACTCAAGGACCACATCCCAGAAATAATTTCGAGCACCCGGGCAGGTGTCGAAAGAGTGTCGAAACGGTGTCGGACGAGTGTCTCCCAGGGGCCCCTGACACGTGAACCCCTTCGAGTTTCGGTACTTTTTGGTGCTGGCGATCAAGGCTAGAGTAGGTTAGAACATCATAAGCATTGGCCAGGAGTCGGCGATGCATCGCCGATAGAACGGCGATCGGCCCCCGATAGCTAGGGAGCCCACAAAGGACGTACGCGCCCAGCTATGTGCATGAACGCGGCCCCTCGATCCGCGACACTGGCCGCGTGACACGAACATTCGGGCACCGCGCTCTCTCGAGACCAGCGTGGACTCGTGCACGCGTGCGCCCTTCCTTCGCTCCTGCATGATCGCGAACCCGCATGCTCCTAGGCAGGGCGGGCCACCGG